AGTGGCCCGCATGGCACTCTCTGACACGGGTCGCGCCCCCGCCCCCCCCCCCCCCCCCCCCGCACGCGCGCAAGAGCGCGCGAATGATTTCCGCATGCGGCGCGAGTGGCGCGTTGGGCAGAGTTTGATGAAAATGTTGGAAATCCCGTGCTTTTTTTTGCTGAATGCGCAAGAGCGCGAGCGAGCGCTTTTTTGGACACTCATGTTGCGAAACATTGTGGTTTTAGATGTGCGTTGGACAATTGGTGTTTAAGTCGTTACGAAACCTAACGTTGTTGATTGATTTCGGCATGCGCGCGCGACGATGCGCGCGCGTACACTTCGTCATATTTGTTGCAAGGGGTTGTCGCGACGGCGCGCACGCAAGGGCGTTCGAACGATTTCGATACGCGCGCGCGAAGCCCGTTTGGTAACATTTTCTGACAATGATGAAAAACGGATGGTGTTTATTATTATTATGATTAAAACAAAAAAGAGAGAGAGACACAAGGGCGCGCGCGCGCTAATTTGTTTGAAAAATCAACGTTGCGAAACCCTGTGTTTCATGTGTTGTGTGACGCTCAATGTTGAAATCTGTGCGCAACCGAAGGTTGTTGAAGCATTTTGGCACGCGCGCGCGACAGCGCGCGTGCATGCACTTCGTCATTTTTCGCTTTGCCAGCGGTTTTTGAAAACTGCGGGCTTTTGATAAACGAGTGCGCGCTTTGTTTTGCAGAGGACGAAGGGGGGACATTGGCCCCCCCTGTCATGGATAAATTCATTTTTTGGGTGGACGATGGGCAGAATCCCATTACACTGCACGTCCACAGGGGGTGGGGGGCTTAAGTCCGGCCCCGGGAGGGTGGTGGAGTCTGTTTTTTTTCTTGACGAAAGGAGGGAACCAATGTGGAGCGATCTGCGCAATGCAATTCGCTTGCAGAATTTGAAGTTGTCAACCCCACTGCTCGCGCAATCGTCCACCCGCCCACCCGCAAGTTGGCTTGCAAAACCCATGCTGGAGCCATTGCGATGAGGGCTCGGCGTTGGCTGGTGCATCTCAGCGGCCGCGCTAGCCCGCGCATGCTCGCGCGCGCAGCGGCCAGCTAGTTTGGCGCGACCGACGCAGCCGCGGTGGCGCTGACCGCTCGGCACAGCCTAGCGGGCACGTCAGTGCGAGGCGGCGACTTGGGCGGGCGCGGTATCATGGCAACGTCGACCACGGTACACGATGATGATAGTAGCGATGCTGGTGACGATGCTGACAGCGACGACGGGGCAGCCAGTGACAGCGCCAATGCCGACCACGCCGACGACGATGACGGCGCCCTCGCGTCGGCGATGAAGGTTTTGGAGAGAATTCCAAATGCGCGCGCGGCAGACGCGCGAGAGTGGCTCGCATGTTATTATTTGACACGGATCGTGCCACCCCAGCACGCGCGCAGGGGCTCTCGAACGATTTCGACATGCGCGCGCGAAGCCCGCTTGGTAGCATGTTATGAAAATGTTGAACAACAGATGGTTGTTCCAAAAATTCGCATGCGCGCGCGCTTTTTGTTGAACACCCGCGTTGCGAAGCCCGGCGTTTTCGCGTGTGTTTTGGACGCTCGATTTTGAAATCTTTCCGGCACCCAGAGTTTGTATGTATATATATATATATATATATATGTCTACACACATCTATATATATCTACATATATATATGTGTGTGTACCTATACGTGGCATGCGTTCGCGACGACGCGCGCGCATTTCGCCCCATTTTGCGCAGAGGATTCTCGCGACGGCACGCGCGCAAGATCAGTCGAGCAATTTCGACATGCGCGCGCGAAGCCCGTTGGGTATAATATTCTGAACATCTTGAGAAAACGCGGTTTTCTTTTGGATTTCGCAAGAACGCGCGCGTGAGCTTTTTTGGAATAGCCGCGTTGCGAAACCTGTGTTTTTTTTTGGGGGGGGGGGAACTCGATGTTGAATTCCTTCCGAAACCAAAGGTTGTTGAAGGATTTCGGCATGCCACGCCACTGCCCGCGCAAACATCCCACCCGCCCGCCTGCAACTTGGTTTGCAAGACCCCTGCGGCGGCGATTGCGATGGGTGCTTGGCGTTGGCTGGTGCATCTCTGCGACCGCGCTAGCCCGCGCGTGCTCGCGCGCGCAGCGGCCAGCTAGTGCGGCGCGGCCGACTCGGCCGCGGCGGCGCTGACCGCTGGGCTCATCCCAACGACCACTTCAGCGACAGTCGGCGACTTGGGCGGGCGCGGCGTCGTGGCAACGTCGACAACGGTAGACATGATGATGATATTGCCGATGTTGGAGACGAGGTTGACAACGACGACGGCGCGGCCAGTGACGGCGCCGATGTTGATCACGCCGGCGACGATGACTGCGCCCTCGCGTCGGCAATGAACATTTTGGAAGGAGTTCGACATGCGCGCGCGGCCGACGCGCGAGAGCGGCCGCATGGCATTAATTGAAACGGATCGCGCCCCCCCCCCCCCCCCCCCCAGCACGCGCGCAAGGGCCTTCGAATGATTTTGGCACGCGGCACAAGAGGCCCGTTTGGCAAAATTCCATGCCAATGTTGAAAACCGATGGTTTCGGAAGAATTCGCAGGAGCGCGAGCGCAGGCTTTTTCGAAAATTGTTGTTGCGACGCCATGTGCTCTATATGTGTTCGGGACACTCGTCTTTGAAGTCCTGACGAAGCTTACTTCTATTTCGGCATGCGCGCGCGACGACGCGCGCGCGTGCACTTAGCCCCATGTTTTGCAAATGGTTGTTGCGACAGCGCACGCGCAAGGGCATTCGAACGATTTCGACATGCTCGCGCGCGAAAGCCGCTTGGTAGCATGTTATGAAAATGTTGGCACCGTGTTTTGGTTCCCTTGGGAAGTCGCAAGAGCGCGCGCAAGCGTTTTTGAAAACCAGTGTTCTGGCGACGCCGACTAGGGTAGACACGATGATGAGAATAGCGATGATGGTGACGATGGTGGGCATGACGGCGACGCGGCCGATGACGGCGCCGATGTTGATCACGCCCGCCGATAACAATGACGATGTCTTCGCGTCGGCGATGAACGTGTTTGAAGGAGTTCGGCATGCGCGCGCGGCCGACGCGCGCGAATGGCCCGCGTGGTACCATTTGAAAAGGATATGCCCCCCTTCCCCCCCAGCACGCGCAAAAAAGTGTTCGAGTTAGTTCGACATGAAGCGCGAGAGGCCCGTTTGGCACAATGTGGTGCGAATTATGGAAACCCCTTGGTTTCCTTAAGAATCCGCAAGACCGCGAGCGCAGAATTTTTTGAAAAATAATGTTACAAAACCATGTGTTTGGATTTGTTTGCGGGGCACTCGATTTTGAAATCTTTACGACACCCACGATGTTTGAAGGATTCCGGCATCTGCGCGCGACGACGCGAGCGTGCTCATTTCGCTCTTTTCGTTTGCAAAGGGTTCTTGCGACAGCACGCGCGCAAGGGCGTTCGAGCGATTGCGACACGCCTGCGCGAGAGGCCAAGTTGGAAGAGTTGCTCGAAAATGTTGGAACACCTATGGTTTTCCTTGTAAACAAGAAACGCAAGAGCGCGAGCGTAAACTTTGTTTGAAAATCTTTGTTGCGAGAGCATGTGTTTTTTATATGTGTTCGTGACAATCGATTTTGAATGCATTGCGAAACTTGAGGTTTTGGAAGGATTTCGGCATGCGCGCGCGACGACGCGCTCGTGTGCACTTCGTCCCATTTTACGCGACGGATGTTGAAAAAGCTGTTGGTCTTTGATACAAGAGCGCGCGCATAGTAATTCGATTTTGAAATCCTTTTGTATTCACTTGATAAGCGAGTTATTCATTGGTGGGAACTCGATTTTGAAATCCTTCCAAAACCGAAGGTTTTCGAAGGATTTCGGCATTCGCTCGCGACGACGCGCGCGCGTGCACTTCCTCGAATTGTTCGCAAGGGATTCTTGAAAATGTATGATTTGTGTTAAACGAGTTCGCGCGCATTATACTGCTTGCAGAGGATGAGGGATGATATGAACTCATATTCAGAATGGACGATGAGGCAGGATCGTTGTAAACTGCATTACGAAAAGATGGACCGTTAACCCCGGGGAAAGGGGGCAGGTCCTAATATCGACTAGACGTAAGAGTGACCTCTCGCCGGAGTGACCTTTGGTGCGGGCACAGATGGGTCCCCAGATGGCTCAAAACGAAGCAGTAGCAGCTGCTTGCGCGCCCAGGTTTGGTCCCCCCGCGGCCGCCAAAAAGCCGCGCACCAAAGGTCACTCTTACCCAGGGTCACTCTTGCGTGTAGTCGATAACATCCTTTTAGAAGACGAGCCCATCTGGGCGGCGACGGCGCGGCGACGGCTGCAGCAGAGCCGCCGGACCGAGGAGGAGGAGGAGGAAGAGAAGGAGGAGAGGGAGGGGGAGGAGGAGAAGGAGGAGGAGGAGGAGGAGGAGGAGGAGGAGATGGAGGGGGAGGAGGAGGAGGAGGAGGAGGAGGAGGAGGAGGAGGAGCGTCGAGGCGGCGACGGGGCGGCGACGGCGGCAACACAGCCGCCAGACCGACACACAGGCACGGACGACAGGGGGCGTCGAGGCGGCGACGGGGCGGCAACGGCGGCCACAGCTGCCAGACCGAAGACACGGCCGATTGCAAAAAGGATTGCAAAAAAACGAAGGATTGCAAAAAAACCCTTGAACGAAGGATTGCAAAAAAACCCGAAGGATTGCAAAAAAACCCTTGATTGCAAAAAAACCCTTGGTTTTTTTGCAATCCAGGGTTTTTTTGCAATCCTTCGTTCAAGGTTTTTTGCAATCCTTCGTGTCTCAGAACAGAAGAAAAAGCCCTAAGTGCAGGCACTGTTTTGGGAACAACTGCATCAACAGAATTTCTCGGAACTCCGCGCGGATCTGCGCAAGGAACCTCTGGCCGCGCCTCCAGCGCCGCCGCTGGGCTTGGCCAAGAAGTCCGCGCGAAGCTCCGAAAGTTATTATTTATGCCGTGTTGTCTTCCTGTGGAGGTGCTCGAGGGGCATGCCTCGAACGGGAAGCTGCTAGAGGGCGTGAGCGATCTGCTGCACATCGCCACGATGGGAGACGCGGGCAAGATCAAGACGCAGTGGAACATCAGCGCCACGCTCCACAATCTCACCCTCTATGGCCTGCACGAGGGCCAGACCCTGATCCACGAGGTGAGGCTCCGGATCGTCAAGAGGCAGAGGCAGCAGGGCAAGAAGCATCGGGAGGTCGTCGGCCACAGCATCTCCACGGGCAGCGTCAGCGCCGCGACCGACGACAGCGGAGTCCTGAGGGCAGACCTGGTGTCCGACAGGAGGGACGAGCGGGGCGCCCCCCTCCCGTGGGGCATCGACAAGGAGCCGTGGCAGATGACCGCAACGCGTGCGCAGCTGAACGGCTACGTGCTCGAGGTCGCGGTCCTGCAGGTGGAGCCGGGCGGGGACTCGCACGATCACGACTCCAAGACGGTCACGGTCGGCCTCTGGGAGGAGACTCTGGGCAACATGCTGGACAACATCCGGGACTTCGGCTGCAAGGTGAGGCTGAAGGCCCTGCTGTCCAAGCCCGGCCATGCCCCGCTGGCGAGCACGGTGGAGCTCGGGGTCGACATCTGGGACCTGAGCCAGCACAGGGACATCCCGCCCATCTTCGACGTGAAGCCGCGCTCCGGCCGCTCGATCGCGCTGCAGTCGCGCCAGCAGATGATGTACTTTGTGCTGTGGCTCGACCGCTTCGTGCCCGCCCACGGGCAGTCCCCGGACCCCGTCCTCCGCCTCACCGTCGGGAGCTCGGGCGTCGGCGGCCAGCCCCCCGGGGGGCAAGTGAGAAGGAGAGGACCTTCCGAGAAGGCTCGGAGGTCCCCCCGGCCTGCTGGGAGGTCTTCCGGGCCTTCCCCGGAGACAGGAAGCCTCTCAGAAGCCGCGAGGGCTTCTGAGCAGTCCCACCGCCTTCCGAGAGGGCCTTCTCCTCCTCAGTTCCCCCCCATCGCTCGCCGCCGAGGGCAGCGCCCAGGGGTGTCGCCACCGGGGGTCTCACTAGTTCCTCTTCGAAATCGTGGTCCCGGGATCGAGGCCTGAGGAGGTGTTGGGACCCACGTGATGTCGTTTCGGAAGGCCTTTCCTCCTCCTCCTCCTCCTCCTCCTCCTCCTCCTCCTCCTCCTCCTCCTCCTCCTCCTCCTCCTCCTCCTCCTCCTCCTCCTCCTCCCCCTGGAGTGTTTTTGTTGGGCCCACCTCGTCGAGAAAGCCGCGCCCTTCTCCCCGAGGGAGCGGCGACCCCCCTTGTAGCGCCCTGCGGCGGCCCCCCCCTGGCAGATTGCCCCAGGAGCCTGAAGTCGGGCCTGTCCCCCTACAGGGGGATTTTCGACGAAAAATAAAAGATACCCAAAAAACAAATCAAACAATAGTCCAAAAATAGTCTGGGGATTATTTTCTGAGTACTTTTGTTGCCTTTTGAGGAATTTTGGGGGTATTTTTTATTGTTCGTCGAAAATTCCCCTGTAGGGGGACACGCCCGACATAATAGGAGCCAGACGGTTCTCGCTCGGGTGGACGAGGACGCCAGCACCCCGGACCGGTTTGCCTTCGAGCCCGTCGGAGTGCTGACGGAGCCCTCAGGAGCTCACCTGCCTCGGTGCGCCCGCGTCGACACACGCCGCGCGTACAGTGCCGTTTATAATACATGCTCCGTGCGGATCATGTATTAAAAATGCAGGGATTTAGTTTTAAAAACAAGGATGAGTTCATGTATACATTTATTTAATCGCTTCGCTCATTCCGCCATCCCTGGAGCGCTATTTGGGGCCTCCTGGGGCCGTCTTGGGGGCTTCTTGGGGGCTTCTTGGTAGCGTCTTGGGGCTCCTTGGCGGCTCCTTGGGGGGGTAGTCGATTGCAGCCCCCCCCTCGGAGGCCACGATCCTCGTGAGGGGTGGCGAAAAATAGCCTCCCCCCTGGGGATCGCCCGGGGATCGGCCGGGGTACTTTTCGTCCGGGGCCCCCCAGGGACCGCCCCGCGCGCGCGAACTAGAAATATTGTTGAGTAGTTACCTACCGGAGATCTCAGCACGCCTATGGCCCGTTGGGCCGGCGAATTCATAAACTCATCATGTATTAAAAATACAACAGCTTTAGAAATCCCATGTATTCAAAGCTGCCTTGTACCGTGCTCAAGACGTCCGCGTCAGCACGCTGCGTGCTGGCTCGGCGCGTCGGCCCCGCGTCTGGCGAACGCACCGCGTCAGCCCTGCGTCTTCGGCCCGCGTGCGTGGAGCGCCGTGCCGCTGCGCTGCGCGTCGCGTGCTGCGCGTCGGGCTGAGGCCCCGCCCGCCTGTGCCCTGTCTCCCCAGTGAGAGCTGCAGCTCTTACCGGAAGAGGTTCGAGCCGCCTCTTACCAAGGTAACTCTACCTCTACCAGAGTGCTGCGTATCGAGAGGGTGCGAAGGTAAGTATCGTTGTTCTGTCGCTGTCGCAGACCAAACAAAGTTGCGTATCGGGGCTGCTGAGCTCAGGAATCCGGCTGCGGCTCGAGCTGTACAACAGGCCCTCGGCGATCGGCATGTCGTCCGTCGACGAGTTCGTCGGCCAGGTCGTGCTCCGCGACCTGGTTCGCAAGGAGGTCTACTGGCGCGAGATATACGCGGGCAGCCATTTGGGGAAGTATGCTGTGGTGTCCAACCTGATGGGTAAGGGCGTCAAGCGCGCATCCACTTTCCGGGGCCTCGTGGCGGTCAGTCTGCTGAACACGCCCACCATCACGCACGAGTTCTACGCGAAGTCGTTTGAGGCGGCCTATCAGCCTGTCAACGTGAAGGTACGCCTCTATCCAGCTGCCTGCGGCAAGCCCAGCCACTGCCACTGCGCCAGCGCAGCAGCGCAGCAGCGCAGCCAGAAGGAGGCTTCGTCATGACACGCTCCAGGCCAGTGCTCTGCAGTCGGATCGAGGTTTCAGATCGAGGTCGGCTCGGGGAGGGTATCCTGATGTTCTTCGTGCTTGTTGGATGCTCTTGTGCACGCTGGGGAGGGCACCCGTGGACGCTCTGTGTGCTCTGGCCAGCGGAGGGTCTCGTTTTCTTGGAGGATGCTCCGCTGTCCTGGGTCCGACCGTGTCTGAGCTGGCGCGGATCTGTAGCGCGCCCCCCTGGTCCGCGGCATCATTCTCCTCTTTGCGCCTTCCTTCCTCTCTCCTCCTCTTTCGTCCTTCCTGTCTCCTTCCTGCCATCTCTCTCTCCTCCTCGTTTCCCCTCGTTCCTCACTCCCGCATCCTTCTGTTCCTCCTTCCTGCCCCCACCTTCACCCTCATCCCCTTCGAAGATCTATTGGCCTCTTGGGGCCCTCTTGGGTGCATGCTGGGGGCCTGGCTGGGGCCCGATTCTTCCGCAGAGTTCTCCCGAGGAGGCCCAGTGGAACTATGTTGGGGATGTCGGGGCGGGTCAGAAAGCCCTCTTGAGCCGTCTTGGAGTGTTCTCTGGCAGTTTGGGCCGTCTTGGGGCTCTCTTGGGGCAGTTTTGGATTGTATGCGAAGTTGATTGTGAAGATAAACGTCGGAATCGAGACACATTGACGTTATCCGGTCTTTGTTTGTTGGCGTTCGCCTCTCAAGATCGCCTTGGAAACCGTGTTGAGCATCTCTTGAAAGCTTCTTCTGCCATGTGGAGAAGATTTTGGTGCCTTTGAGAGCTCATTGGTCCGTCATTGGATTGACGCAGGGCGTCCAGCAGCCGTTTTGGAGCGATCTTTGACTGTCTTGGAGCCGCCTGGAGGCCGAAGACGGTGCCAGGAGGTCCGCCACACAAAAATTGAGGGATTCACGAACCCGGTAAGGAATTGGAGTCAACCTTTCTTCTGACGCGCGTGCGACACTCCATTTGCTTGTCTGCAGCGGCTACCGCCTGCAAGTCCTGCTCCTCCTTCTCCTCATCCTGCTCCTCCTGCTTTTTCTACTCCTCCTGCTCCTACTCCTCCTCCTCCTCCTACTCCTCCTCCTCCTCCTCCTCCTCCTCCTCCTCATGCTCATCCTTTTTTTTCTTTGCCAAGTTTTGAGGCGAAGAGCGGTGACGTTTCGGGAAAGCTGATGTTGATGCTGAAGCCGCAGTGGGACGAGGGAGGGTGGCGACAATGATGTTGGCGTGACCGTGACAGCAATGACGAAGAGGGGAGGATTAGACTGGCCTGAGGCAGCGCCTTGCCCCATCGCGTAGGGCGGTTGGAGATGCTGTGGACCCCATAACAGTCCGAGCGGGAGTGGCTACCCGGGCGTATGAGATGCCAAACGTAGCTCAGTGTGAGCACTGCTGTCGGGTTCTCTCTCCAGGCCTCACCCGCGATCTCTACTCCAGCACCGCAGGCATTCGCGGGCATCCAGGGCCTCTCCGCCTCCGTACCCCACAGACGGACAGGAAGCGCGACCAGTCTAGGGATGCTTCCAGCTGGTGGGCCTGCTGGAGAACCCAAGACGGAGACGCCAGGGACGATTTCTGGGACCCGACCTCGAGAGGACGACCGATGGAGCTGGAACCAAGGATGGCGTGAAGATTGGACAGACGCCCGCTGGTCGGGGAACCAGCGCAGTCGTGACTACTGACCTCCTCCAGCTTTCCTCGGACCCGAACACTTGGATCTCTACTCCGAGAACCTACGCGCTTGGTCAGAGAGAACCGGGCATGTCCTCTCGCCCCAAGCCTCGAGAGTGATAGCGCACCTGCCTGTCGAGCTCCAGCTGGAACTCCAGACGGCGAGGGCCACGCTCGACATCGACCGCGGGGTCGAAAACCTCATCGCGCATTTGTGCGTGCTCAATGGGGAAGGCCTTGGCGACAGGGGCAGGATCTCGCACTCCTATGCCTAGCTCGACTACATGAGCCTCCGCGGGGGGTCGATCACAGACTACGCGCTGTGCCGAGACGCGCAGCTGGCGGACGCGGAGGCGAGAGGCCTGGAACCCCAGACAACGTCAAGGCCAGGTACTTGGAGGAGGGCGCGAACCTCACGCCGCAGAACCAGATCAACATGCGGGCGCTTCGACGCGGCGCCCATCCGCGCGGCGCTGCTGCAGCTGGGCGTCGCCGAGAAGCTCGTCCCCCCAGCCGCACCGCTTCGTCTCGGGACGCGGCACCATTAGCAGGAGACCAGCTTGGCGTTGAGCATCTGCGAGGCACGCCTGGCAATCATGTGCTCGCGTTTGCTCGGCGTCATGGGCTTTGGCCATTTCAAACGCTAAATAATACCTGCTCATTGGAGCGGCGCTGAACCTCTGGTATCCCGTCATTTCCAAGAGTCCTGAGAACACCAGGATGCCTTACTGTCGCACATTCGGTATGCGTATATTGTACAGCGATGCTTGGATCACGCCTGGTCTCGAGTAATATGTGGACTTAGCTGCCTGCCCCCCCCTTCCTTGCGCATCGCGGCCGCCGTCGCCTCTGCGCCGCAACTGCCCCGGGAGCCGTGCTCGACCACATTGCGGTGGATGCTCGTGATCGCAGTGCTGATGTGCCCGCTGATCTTGGCGTTGCCCTTACATCGCGTCGCGATGGCTGAGTCGTCGACGCGCGTAGAGTCTGGGGCGAGGGCCTCGCGGTCCGCGTCCGCGGCGAAAACTTTCGGCGCGGGCGGGTCCGGCGGGATGAGCACGCCGGCCCCGTTCAATTCGTCCTCAATGTTCTGCAGGGGTCTGGCGCACGCGATGTTGAAGCCGTAGTAGGCAAGACCGTTGCCCGCGCGTGCACCGCGCCTCGCCGATGCAATCGAGTTCGCCGCGGGGGCCCGGCGCCGCGTTGTCTTGTAGGCTTCCGAGGTCATGGTTGCCAGTTGGACTGCCGCAGAGTTTCCGGATCCTGGTTGTTTTCTTTGTCTTGCATAGCCGATGGGCCCTCAGGGCAGCTTCAAAGAGCGGTTGCAGCTGGCGCGGGACTTCGGAGTCGCGCACGATGCCTTCGACGCCGTCAAGTGAGTGCTCCATCTGGACGCCCATAGACCTGGCGACCGCGTGGAAAGCGCTCTTGAGGTCCACGTAAAAACAGGCCGCCGTGCAGCCGCAACTCGCGCACACTTGGGCGCTTTTGGCATGCGTAACCGCCGGCCGGCGATAAAGAAGCCCCCCTTTTCCCCTTCTATTTTATTATCCCCGACCACAGGGATCTATCCGCGGGAAAGGCGCGGGGGCCGAACTTTACAATCCACGGGAAATTTGCGGAGATCGAAGTTGCTATCAAATCATGTTGACTAGCAACAGCATCAAAAACGCTGAGCACCGCCATGGTGGTCTCACCTCGCCAGATTCGCAATCACGAGCGCGCGGCAGGGCTGTGGGATGCTCCCTCCCCCCCATCTTCCTTCAAAATTGTTATTGTCCTGTTTCTTATGTTCCTCTTCTTTTATTTTTCGGCTCGAAGTTGCGATCGCTTCGTGCTGACTAGCAGCAGCTTCAAGCATGCCCTGCCTTATCTTCCTTCTTCTTTTCCGTTTGCTGCTCCCCCTTTTCTCTTCCCCCCTTTCCGCCCCGCCCCCGCCCCCAGGGGGCCGAATTATTTAATCCCCGGGATGTTTTATCCCCCGCGGTGCCCCGCCATGGACCCCCCATGCGCTCCTGAAAACGACGTTTAAACAAG